GCATGGGGTCCCCTATCCTGATACGTCCCCAGGACCTCCACACACCCACTGATAGGAACAGCGACCCGGCCCAGCCAAGCTGGTCCCGGGACCTCAAGGTGGGCTGGGGAGCTGCAGCCATCACTTTGGATGTATTGTTTTCAAATTGCAAGAAAACGTAATCCCTGACAATCAAGCACTTGCTACGTACGTACCCAGCACAGTGTGGGGTGCGGTGCTGCATTCATAATTTCATTTAATATTGAAAATATTCCTGTGGAAAACCCTACAACCCCATTTTCCAGTGAGGAAACTGGGGCTCAGAGAGTTGAAGACTCTTGTCCAAGTTCATATGGCCGGAAATAGTGGAACCAGGAGTCTGTTGGAATCCAAAGCCTACATCAGATCAGGCGCTTCTGGCTTCTGCTGTGGGTCAGCACATCGTAAGTGCCGCCTCAACTGCTGACATCCTAGTTTGGAAGGGACAAAGCAAGACTAAACTGACTTCGTCCTACTGTGTCGCCACGAAGTTGCAGCCTCAATCCTGCCTTCCTCCTTTCCCTCCCATCCCAAGTTCACTACAGGCTCTGAATCCCCAAACCACCCACCGAAACAAAACATGTGGCCCAGAAGATCAAGGATTTGGGAGCAAGAAATGGAGATATTCGCACATCCCTTTCTTTCTTCATGTGGGCTCAAGCTGTCCAAAGTCAAGCAATTCAACTTTTTATTGCTGGTGTTTACTCGTCCTCTGGCCCTGCTGAATTCTCCGAGTTCTTCCCCTACTCATCCCACCCTCCATGCCCAACTTGTCCCACAGCTACCTATTCTCCAAAGCCACAAACCACATGTGCGTAGCCAACTCTCCGCCTTTCCTGGGCCGGTCTCTCTGCCACGCACACACGCCCGTCCCCTTGTCAATGTGGTGAACACATCCATGTTCTTCAAAACAAGCTCAGACACCCCTCCTCCTTCGTAAAACACTTCCCAGAATTCCTCATTGCAGACTCACTTCTATTAATATTTACTCTGTCCCTATTACGTACATCTTGATCACAGCCCAATTTCCAACTCGCCATATTGCACTGGAGTGAGTCATTTGTAGGACCACATCCCCCAGTGGACTGAGTTCCTCGAGGGCAGAGACAGTAAGGTGACTAATGCACCTTCGCAAGTTCGGTCCACAGCCTTGCACGTAGTAGCTATTCAATAAGTGTCCCATGAACGAATGGATAAATGGGCTTTCACAAAGCCAACACTCCCGGGAGGCCAAGCCAGTTGCTCAATCCAGGCCTCCTACCCACTTGTTGGTCTTGGGTAGCTCCTGAGGACACTTTATCTTTTCCCAGATTTCAGGTAGTCTCTTAGTTCAGATATTTTTCCTTCTTTCTATCCATGTTTGGACTTTCTCACACTACTACTTCTCTGAATTGCAAGGCAGGCTGCCTCAGGAGACAGACAAACTCCATGGAGTCCGACAGAACTGATTATAACAAACCCAGGCTGCCACTGGCCCCGTGTGTGATCTTAGATGAGTAATCCACAGCTTCCTGAGGGATAAAATACAGACGACCTACCCTGCAAAGCCGCAGTGGGTGTCATGAGCTAGCACACCTTTGTCCAGCAAGCCCCAGGTCCATAGGCATCGCTTAGGAGATATAAGTTCCCTTCACAGAGATTGCTGAAGGCACAGGACCCTTAAAACCCATCTAATCCAGCCACCTACATGTTGCTTCAATTCCATACCTGGGACAGGTGGGTGCGTGGCCTCTCTAAGGTATCCCAGCACTGGAGAATCATAATTAGAGTAATAATGGTAACAGCAACATGTTTACAGACCTTGTTCATTTATAAAGCACTTTTGCAATTTCTTATTCTCACACAAAAACAGAGCCATAAATTAATGTTCCCCAGTAAGAATGTGGCTCTGAGGCACAGGGGGGCCACTTAGAGACGAGCTGCTGAACCAGACTTGGTCCCAGGCCACTTGCCTCGAGTGCTGGCTTCCAGGTGACTTCCAGGTGATGGGAATCTGTTTTTTTTTTTTTTTGTTGGTGGTGGTTTTTTGGTTTTGGGGGTGGTTTTTTGGTTTTCGGGTTTTTTGGTTTTTTGTTTTTGTTTTGGGTTTTTGTGGGTTTTTTTGGTTTTTTTTTGTTTTTGTTTTTTTTTTTTTGGTTTTTGGGGGTCATTAAGACAGAGTCTCGCTCTGTTGCCCTCGGGAGAATGCCATGGTGTCATCATAGCTCACTGCAACCTCAAACTCCTGGGCTCAAGCGATCCTCCTGCCTCAGCCTCCCGAGTAGCTGGGACTACAGTAGCTGTTCCCGAGAGGTCTACAATGTGTGTGAGCCAAGGGCTGTCAGCAGCCTCCCCGAGGGCGGGACCTGGTTAACACTGAAGCTGATGGAGAAGAGAGAATTGAGGAGAGTCTGAGATGTAATGACATTACCTAGGCCTGGACCTAAACTCCTGAAAAGCCCACACCTGTACTTTTCAGTTCCACGAAGCATAAAGAGCCTATATTATTGTAACTGTTATTACTGTTATTATTGTTTCTATTATTGTTATTTTCTCACATCATTTTGAGTGGTGTTTTCTGTCACTTACAGCCCAAAGAACCTTGATCAATACAGTCATTCAGCTAGAGTGGTGGAAACAGAGGCAGTGATCACAGTGATGTTTTTTGATCTGAAACTCTGCACTCTTCCTACTGTGCATATTGCGAGGGAGGAGCGTGGAGAAAAAGGCACAGCAAAGAACCAGATTCTGACTGGGCACAATGGCGCACGCCTGTGATCCTAGAGCTCTGAGAGGCAGAGGCGGGAGGATCGCTTGAGCCCAGGAGTTCAAGACCAGTCAGAGCCAGACTCTGGCTCTACAAAAAATAGAAAAACTAGCCAGGTGCAGTGGTGAGTATTTTAGTTAAATTTACCCACCAGCCACGGCCAGTCACATACCTACCTCTGGAGCTGGAGGCACATTCAAATTCAGGCATATTCAAATTTGCAAACTGAGAATGGAGAATGAACAGTTTTCCAAAAGAAAATCTGGCTGCTGTCACCAGTAAAGGGGAGGAAGAGACGCTAGACAAGTAGGACCAGCAAAAGCAAGAGATGTCCTCTTCCGTGATTTGTTTTGGAGCTTCCACCTCTCCCTACGAACACTGTGACATTAAAAATACCTACCCCTTCGGGTTGTTGCAAACTGGAGCCAAGTAAAAAGGATTATGCAAACTCTTGTCACTGCTATGATAAGCCCTGTGGTTTTCGCCCCTTTACAGGACTCTGCCCTCTGAATCCGCACCCAGCCTCTGTGGCGGGCCAGGACACCATTCCTCACCTGCACTGCAGGGAAGGCCTCTTCGCCGGGCTTCTGCCTGCCTAGCCCGCCCCTGTCCGACCGCACCCCTTCGGTGCCTTGCAGCCAGATTAATCTTCCATTTCAGCAGAGTTCAGGGAGCTACGGAGCCCAGTGGTGTTTAACTTGGCTTGCCCTCAACCTCATGCATTTAAAGGCCATCTGAGCTGAACTATTCATCTGTTCCTTCCTGACTCCCCCACTGTGAGTACGTTCCCGCCCCCTCCTCTCAATACCCAGCATCTGAGCTGCTTACACACTTCTTCCTCAAGATAGCTCAGAGAGAAAAAGAAGGGGAAAAAATATATATATATATATAGATATATATTTCTCCCACCTTAGAATTTGGAGCCCTCATTCTATTATCGCATAAAGCATCATGCTCATATCATAATTTCAATCCAGAGAGGGGATGTGTCGTGTGAGCTCTGAGATGCATACAAATTGCCCTTCTAAACCTCTGGCTACAATAAGCAAACTTCAGAACCCGACAGTTTACTTGATAAATACCTAATAAAGCTTAAATAATTATTGAAAGCAGACAAATGGAAGAGTGGAGCGGCAAGAGATGCCGTGGTGATAAATCACGGGGAAGAAGACAGAGCCCCGGCAACTGGGGGGGAAGCAGACTCCAGGAAGTCGCAGAGAGACTCAGAGGCAGGGGCAGGAGTGCTGGGAAGAGTCGTCTGGGCGTGAGTGTCTGGGAAAGCCACAAGATGTACGAGATGGGCTTTCGGGGGGGGGTGGCGTGGAGGGGGGCTAACCTTTCTCAGCTCTCCTGGAAGAACGAGAGTCCAGGGAGACTATAGTCCATGTCGTTGGCTGTCCTGTCTCTGACCACCCAGCTGTATCAGGGGCTTGGGGTTCCAGACGTCACACCCCATTTACAAGCTGTACCCTGCCCCAGGTCCAATCTTGAGGATGGAAGAATTCAACTCATTCCAGGGCACCATGCCATGACCTGGAGTCACCATCCCCAGTGAACTGCAAGAAGGTACCCCAAACCCTTCATTCATTTACTTGTTCAACAAACATTAAGTGCTAACATGGGCTATAAATAACAAGCTTGCAGTCTATCCAAATGTGGGTGTGGGTGAATGACATTAGTGTCTCCATTTGCCCCTCTGGCGAGGAGTGACCATAAAAGAAAGGACTGGGTTTGCTGTTTCGCAAGCCACCAGATTCTGCCCAGCTTTGTGTTTCCCAAGTAAGTGTGCAGAGAAGCCTCCGCCCCCGTCTCTGCATCCTCCGAGCCTTCGGGAAGTGTATCTGATGTCAATTCACAAAGCCCAGACTCTCTCTGCAACGACAACAGTCAGTCTCGGCACAAAGGAGGTTTGAGCGGCGCCTGCGAGCTCCGTGTGGGCTGCAGACACACAAAACGCGCACCCGATGAATATTACCCGGGACGCGTTAGCTGATAACGTGTGCGCCCCAAAATCAATGAGGGAATTATCTCCTCCACACAATTGGCACAAAAGAAGGAAATTTTCAGTGTCCCTCCAACACAGCCCGGCTATTGTCAGCCCTGGCACGCGAGATGATTAATGCGCAAGTGACTACACATCCAGCTTTCGATTCCTGCGATTACGCGCATGGACCATTTTTTTCCTCTTTATGGATCCTCAACACTTAACTTACTCAATGGTTTTTATTTGCATTGATCACATTTTATGGTATGATTAAATTTGTATGGAAGAGAACCAATTAGTTTTGTTTTACACTTATTGAATGCTCTTTAGAGTCAGACAAATTAACTCTCCACAGCTGGGTTAATTTATCCAGTGGCAGGAGGCTTGAGGGGCCAGGCAGGGTCTCATCCCCAGCTGGGTAGGGTGGTCGTGAGGGAGAGGGTCTGACCAGCTGGGTTTCTCAGAATTGGACATACTGTCCTGCCTCTGACCGCCCGGCAGATCGCCGTGGGATCCGGCGAGGTCTGTCTAGGAGAGCGACCCAAGGCTTCCAGCTCCGTGTAAATTTCAGGAGTCCCATCAAGGCTTTGACGGAAGAGAAAACATTTCCTCCTACAAAATAGAAAGAGCAGTGGAGTAGAATTCAGTTCCAGCCCCCACCCCAATACTTTTGTAACCCAGTCCAAGCTCGGTCCACTCGCCAAAGGACAGCCAGTAAGTAAGGACAGCCAGAAGGACAAGGTGTTGGGGCAAGGAGAGCAACTCCTTGGAAGTTGCTCTGCCATCATCCAGGAAGATGGCAGACTAGTGTCCCAAAGAGCCATCTTAAGTTAGTATAAAATTTAGGCACCTTTTTATGTTAAGAGAAGGGGCAGGGGGAGGAGACTGAGGAATGAGGCTATGTGCTTTGGGGCAGGTTGTGTTGAAATTAATGAGGGGCTGTGCATTGGGGCAGGTTGTTCGGTTCAGAAGCTACAGGATGGTGAGTCTTGGCATCAGGAAGGAATCTCAACTCCTTTCCTTGCAGAAATTCCGCCACTTCTGGGAAACAACTCGAAAGGTCAAGTAGATAGTGAAAAGTTACAGGGCTCTGGTCGTCCAGCCCCAGCGGCTTTGGGAACCCAAAGCATGAGAAAGCTACAGGGAAAACACGCATGCGTGTTCCCGCTGTGTGTGTTCACTGGGCTGGTTCCACTTTCACTATCTGCTGTGAGACTGGGCCAACGATTTCACTTCCTTCAGCCTCAGTGAACAAAGCTGGTCGTGATGAGGAGGAGAAGGAGGTGACCGTCTACCTGTACAATCTGCTGTGGGGGCCAGATGCATGAGCACCTGTGAAAATAACTTCTAAACTGTAAAGCATCATCTTTGTGCTCATCTGCCTTCAAATCAGAAACAGAAGCGGCATAGCATTGTGTCATGCAAAAGTAATTTGGAATCAAGAGACCTAAGTCGGAATCACTATGGCTCCCCAGCTGTGTGGCATGATGGAAGTCAGTCTCTCTGAGCTCCAGCTGCCCCGTCTATGCAGTCGAGATTATTGCTGTGGGATCGAATGAGGTAGCCCAGACAGCAGTGCTTTCCTTCATTCTGCATCCCTCACTCGGTGTCATGTTTCTCCGTAGCACCTGTATTTGTTCTCTAGGGCTAGTGTGACAAAATACCTCGGGCTGGGGGTTTAAACAACAGAAATTTATTTCCTCGCCGTTCTGGAGGCCGGAAGTCTAGGATCAAAGTGTCAGCAGGGCTGGTTCCTTCTGAGGACCCTCTCCTCGACTGGCAGATGGCCGCCCTCTTGCTGTGTCCTCACGTGGTCTTTCCTCTGTGCACCCCTGGAGTCCCTTCTTGCTGTGTCCAAATGTCCTCTTCTTATAAAAACAACGGTCAGATTGGATTTGGGCTCACCCTACTGGCCTGATTTTAGCTTAATCACCTCTTTAAAGGCCCTATCTCCAAACACTGTCACATCCTAAATATATGAATTTCAGGGGTACACAATTCAGTCCTACAATGCCTTGCTTTATATTACATATTTATCTGCACTCATAAACTCCACGGGAAACTTTGTTTTCCTCACCACATAAACCTAACACAGCAATGCCTGGTACATGATAGGCACTGATAAACACTTGTCAAATGACTTGGTGACAGTTTCAAAAAGATCCTGGCTCCAGCATGAAGACATCCATGGACAGGTGGGCTGCAACTGATCATCTCTGAAGGCCCTTCTAATCACTGACCTGGATTAGCTTCTGTCGCATTTTCCCTGTGACCCCAGAATTCAGAGAAAGTCTCAGGAATTGCTTATTTAGTGCTTTTATTCCTAAAGCCATGAAAACCTTGAGTTTCAGGGTTGGGAGGAAACTTAGCATCATCAGATTCAACTTACTACCCAGTGAAGGCAATACCTTTATATTAATAGCATTTCCTGAGAACTTCTCTACAATCAGTGCTGGGACTGGAAGCCCCTTACCTCTGGAAGCAGGCAGTTCTATGGCTGGATGGCTCTGACTCTTAGAACCTGTAATTTTGTGTACACAACAAAACACAAAGATATTCTTTTAGAAATGATTTGTAATAGTGAAAAATGGAAACAACCATTTCTAACTAGGCAGGTGGAGAGTAAACTGGTTTATCCATACAGTAGAATGGGTTTTGTCAATTCAAATGAATTCATTATATCTACATGCAACCAAATGGAAGTCTCTCAAAAAACACAATATGGATATGTACAATATGATACTATACAAACATATATGCATTAATTTGTGTGTATTTCATACATATATATTCATTTTTAAATGTTGTATGTTATGTAGCAAAAGTACAAAAAACATGCAGGAAGGACATATATCAACCTCAGAGCAAGTGGCCTCCCAGGAAGGAGGGGGAGAAGGAGAGGGATACAGGAGAGTGGTCTTCAACTCTATCTGTAACATTTAGTTTTTTGACAAAAGAAGCTCCAAGTAAATATGGCAAAATGTCAACATCTGTTGCATCCTGATGGTAGGTACATGTTTATTTTCTGAACTTCTCCAATGCTTGAAATATGTCTTAATTTTCTTAATGTGCTTTAGTGGACACGGGAACATGTCATTTTTAATGGAACTGGCACATGGCTCCACAATCCAGCTACTGCACCAAGCCAGGGCCAACTGGAATGAATTAGCTCGTCTTCCGCACCATATCCATGGTCTTTCTAGGCAGGCGGGACCATGCCAAGTGACCTCCCTGCCAGCCTGTGGCTGTCAACATAGAAGGGCCAATTTTTTGGTTGAATTGCATCTAGACATATAGATTTTTACTCTGTCATTCGATATTTGTAGAATGCTGCTGCATGCATACTAATATTCTTCTCTTCTGAGCTCATTGTCTAGCGAGAGAAACAGATACATAACCAGATAGCCACAGGACAGTGTCTGAGCTGGAGAGCTTGCACACAGAGCTTTAAATGAGAGGAAGACATGACTAACCTGCCTTAGGAGGCATGGAGGAAGGAAAAGGAGTGGATCATTTGACAATCAGAAGAATGTTTGGCGTGGCGATAGCAGAGGGCATGTGACGGGGAAACAGCGGGAGGATGCCAGCAGATGATCTTCCGAGACAGCAATGACTCTTTGTCACTCACGTTGATGTCTTTATGTGTGGCTGTGGTTGCATGTGTTCTTTATGCTGTCTCTTGTAAGACTTGTTAATAGCAAACATTGTAAATAGGTGAGTGTGAAGGCAGCTGGGGGCTGGGTTTACGACTTGGCTGACCTTTACAGACACAATTGTTCCTTAAACCCAATGAAGTCACAACTCGCCTGCCTGTGTCACTGGAATTGCCACTGTTTCCTTATGCAACAAGGAATCTCTGTGTTCTCTTTTGTGCATTAAGCTGTGTTTTGGTGTGCTCTGATTTTGGTTTTTTAAGACTTTACAGGGTTCAACAGGAAGACAAATAGAAAATAAATTAAGAGATACAGGAAGGACCAGATAATAAGAAGCTGTGAACACCAGATGAACAACTTGGACTTTATACTGCAGGAATCAGTGAAGATTCTTGGAGCAGAAGAGTGAGTGACCATGGTTAATCTTTACTATTTGCATTATTGCTTTGCAAGGCTGTGGAATGAGGTCCAGGGGAAGGGAAACCATTGAAGAGGCATTAAACATAAAGTGAGTTACTGATAGACCTTGGGCAATGCACATGGGTTATTTAGATTAAGAATTAATTCCTCTAACAACCCCTTAAACTTCAGTGGCTTAGCACAACAAGAGTGCATGCCTTGCTTAGTCCAATACAATTGTTCCTGGCTACATATCAATCTTCCATGAGTGTCTAGAAACCCAGAGTTATTTTGTGCTGTGGCTCTGCCATCTCCAATGCTTCCTTCCCATCTCGCTGTGCTCATCCGGATCAACTCTTCCCCACATGGGGAAAGGGCATGGACAAGCAGGCATGAGATGGCTTCAGGGGCCAGGTCCGTCCTACTGGAGAAAACCCAGCCACATAGCCAAGTGCAAGGGAGGCTGAGAAATGTAGGTAGCTGTATCCCCAGAAAGAAGAGGAAATGGGTTTGCTAAACCGTTTCCCAGTCTCTGCCACAGGTCTAAGCAGGAAGGGCCAGATTGGAGGTTGTGTTTTAAAACTACTGAAGGCCATCACAAGCACTCTGGACAGAGTTGTCCCCCCACGGCTGGGGACTCCCAGCAGATAAGTTGGACCTTGTCCAGCAAGTAACTTCAGAGGCTGAATTGTGGAAAATCTAAAAGACAGCCCGTTTTGCAGCACAGAGGCACATGAGGAAAGAAACAAGGTCTCAGAGAAGTGAACAGATGGAGGTGGAGGGGGACACAGAGGCACAAGCCAGGGGCTGTCACTCAGGGGAGACGTGCAGACAGGAGGTAGCCACACGTGCCAGGTCCAACACTGGTGCCAAGTCAAATCGGCCAGTATTCTAAGAGCGGGAAAAAATATAGATTCTGAAGAGCAAATACAGGCTGAGGATCAAAGGCCAATATTTGATCTCAAGGGTAAGTTTTTAAGACAAGAAAACACACTCACTGGGGCTGAGCTCTCTATGACCAAGAAGCATTGTCTGCCTGATCTTTAGTAATAATCAGCATTTACTGAGCACTTCCTATGTTCCAGCATGGATCTAAGTGCTTACATATATTATCTCATTTAATTTTCACAGTAACTCTGGGAAGTAGACCCTGAGATGAATGCCATCTTGTAAGTGGGAGAAACAAGACATTAAAAGTGACTAAATAACTTGCCGGTGGTCACCCAATCCACACTACAACCCTCAGGGGTAACTGTCCCAGCTCCCCTCCTCTTGTGCACAATGAAAGCAAAGCCCAGAGTCAGTGCGTGATGTACCCAAGTCACCCAGCTAATGAGCGACACACTGAAGCTGTGGACCTTCTGCCATAACCATGTTTCCCAAAACGTGCAGGCGTGGAGCGTGCAGGAGACGACTCCAGGGGGTATGCGGGATGGAAATTATAATCCCATCATTTCAAGATAGAATTTGCCCTCCTCTTTTCCCAGAAAGCTGAGCTGCGGTCCAGGAACTAATCCCTAAAAAGAACCATCTACCTAGAACCAAAGTAAGGACTCTCTTATGTGTTCTGCTTAGGCCCGTTTCAGGCTCTGGGGGACTGATGCTCTGATGTGTTGATCAATGTGCGAGTGTGTCTTTTCATTCCTAGAAGCTCCTGGGGCTCCGGATGCTGCCTCCACTCACAGCGCAGCCGGGTTGCCAGTGCCCCGCCCCAGAGAAGGCGCGGCGCAGCTCTGACGCTCTGAACACCAGGACTCTGCTGAGTCAAAGACCCTCACCCTTGATGACCCTAGATGAAGGCACAGTCAGGTAAGCATTTCCCAGAATTCCCCCAAGAAAACATAGACAGACACATTCCGCAGACCAGATAAACATTCGTCAGGCTTGGGGGAAGGAGGATAGAAGAGTTTGACTCTGATGAGTCAACAGCAAGAGTCTGTGTGCCCTCCCCACCAGGCCAAGTGCAAGGTAGGGGCTGGGGGAATTGCACAACCCAAGATATCTGCGGGGACTCAAAGCATAGGAGACCTGTGTTCTCCATCCCAGAACTGAAGCTTCTGAATATGGCGGGCCCCCAGAGCACCCTGCACTGAGCCGGAGTGGGAGCAGAAAAGCCGTCCCTGTGCAGTCGTGAAGCGAGCCCGAGACAGGCTCCTGGAGTTGGCCTTGGACCCTGCGTGGAATAAGAACCGCAGACTGTTTCCACGGGCCCTTGATGGAGAGACGATGTGAGCTAAAAGAGTCCTGTAGTTGGACACGAAAGGAAGACACAACAGGGACCTCTGTGGACAGAAGACAAGACCAGGTGGGCCCCCATGTGTCACAGGGGAAACCAACAGAGATAGATGACAACACCAAGACCAAATGCTCTCCTGTCGCGCTGATCCCTGCTGGGGTTTTGGCACCTCCGAACACAGACACAATCCTAGGCAGAGGGAGATCACCAAACTGACTGATGTCCAGTTCTACCAGCTGAGTCAAGCTCAGTTACATACATTTTTAAATTCCATTTCTTCCACTCCTGAGATTGTAGGATGAGATTTGTATCCACCGTATAGCCAGGACCTCCCTTTTTGCCCCCACTGCCCCAGGGCCCAGCTCCCCTTCCTCCAGCTGCACCAAGAGAGGCCCAGACTGAGCAGGGACTGGATTTCTGGGGCAATTGGCACCTTCTCTGCTCCAGCTGCTGGGGGGTTGTCTCCGATAATAACGCACGGCTCTGTTGAGCAGGCGGTGCAGTGGGAGGGCCCAGGAGGGGCCTGGCTGAGGGGCCCTCTGCAGCAGAGGTGCCACTGGCCACCTGGGCCTGCCGCAGGCTGACCGCACCAGTCGTGGGTAGAGACGGACAGATGCCAGGCCTGAGAGCTCACATCTCTGTCCCCCTTTCTCCTCCTCCATGGACCCCCGGCCCCCGCCTTCATCCGGGGAAAATGCACCAGCTTTCTCAGGACCCCTCTCCACTCAGCTTCCGTGGGATCCAGTGTCTTCCGCTCCTCTCCCCCTGGCCACCTCCAAAGGCAAACCCTCTGGCTCTTCCCCGAATCTAAGGGCTCTACTGGTGATGCCAGGGGACAGACAAGGCACAAGGCAGTCGCAGTGGAGAAAAGAGAGACATGATCATTATCATTACTATAATGATGGTAAACATGTTTAGCGTTTGGGGCACATGGCAAGTGCTTTGCCTGTGTGGTTCCCGTGAGCCCTCACTGCAACCCCAGGAGGTTGGCACTATTATTGGCCATATTTTCTAGATGAAGAGACTGAAGCTCAGAGAGGCAGGATCTCATGGCTCATATGTGGTGAAAATAATATTGAGAGGCAGGTTTTCCTTACTCCAAAACCCAAAAGCTTAACCACTACACTCGTGGTTACTAGAAAGGCTACAGCTGACAGTTTTCTAGGGCTCAGCTCAGAGACACAGTTACCTGGCTTGTGACAGCAAAATGACTCTATGTTCCACGGGCAGAGA